TCGTGTGTCACGTACAAAATTATATCAGCTATTTCTAACAAAACAAACTCGAGCTTACCGTTTCGTCGCTGGAAGTATCAGGATCGGAGTTGTCGAATATTTGATCTAGATCTTTGTAGGATGGCTGGAGACCCTCGCTGGTGAAGAGAGATCCTGGTTTAGTTGGATCGTCCCTTTGTCGCCTGAGACCATCGACATTCGTGCCATTTTCCTCGCCTGTCGCATCGAACTCGTACGGATCTGTTCTTCTTCCGATACATTCCCCCTGATATGACAAGACATAATTTTTCGTTAATGCATTCTATAATGTGTCTTACAAATAAAGAAACAGCTAGGCACTTGCGCTGGAAGATGACGCAGAATATTTTTGTAATTTTCTTAAATGAAATTTATAAATAATATTTTAATTATACGCATTTACATTTTCATATAAATGTTTTCTTTAAAAATATAAATTCTCAAATAAAAAAATTTCTATGCATATATTAATTGCAAACTTGTACAATTTTTAAATTTTATAAATAAATTATATAAAATTCCATTAAGTAAAAAAGAGAAAGATTTATCACATATTATTACTAAATATTACTTACAACTGCGACAGGCTCTTGTTTAATTTCCAGCTTAGGAGCTTGAGTTTGGAGCGTTTGAGAATTATTCATTGGCGGGTACAGAACGTTGCTCCGGTTGGTCGGCGGACCGCTGATGTTCATGGACTTGAAACGCTTCACAGGATGATTCAGCCAGGCCTCCTGGAGCGAGTAATCGTAGAGCCAGGACAGCGGTTGCTCGTCATCTAAGAGAGTACCCTCGTACTCTCGGGATATCAAAATTGGTCGTTTCAGTACCGGTCCGGGAACCGACGGACTGTGCACCTGATTGTTGCACGCGGAAGAGATGGACTTGGGCCCTTGCGACGGGGTTAGGGGTGGGGCAGTGTTCGTGTGACTTGGTGGAGGTTGCGGGCTGAGAGTCGGCATTGTGGGCTCCGCGGGCGGGACCGACGCCGGCTCGGAGTGTGGAGTCAGGAGAGGCGATGGTGCTGGAGAACCTGGCGAGCCGACCGACGGCACCGGTAAGCAATCTCCTCCCGTTGGTGGTCCGCGTGAATAGGAAGGTGGACCGCCCGGTGGTGTACTAGGTGCTTCCGTTCTACTCAGTACCGACCTACTCAATTTT